CAACTGAAAGACTTGTACTGCTATTGTGATTGTCAGTAATGCTACATTTTCATTGTACAAAAAGATTTACAGATCGATTGTAATAAATTACAGCAAATAGGAAAAATTTCATTTTCCAATCGTGCTGGGATGCCCAACATCCCTCTCATGGTCACTGAGTTCAGAAACCTCACAGAACAGAAGAGCAGTTGTACTGACTGACTGTGTATTACAGCGAAGGATACAGATTTAAATTAGACACGGGAAAGAGCACATAGCAAGGAGGCCAGCAGAAATCGGGCAGAGCATCCAGTTGCCACCTTCTAGGGGAGTTGGGAGGAGGAACTTACTCCTTCCAGCAGCAATGTAGCAATGCAGCCAGGAAAGCTTTCCCAAGCCTCAGCTTCCAGGGTTTTGACTGGAGTCAGTTGTAGCCCTGTGTGATTAGTTTTAGTTATTCAACCTCTAGCCTCTACTAGAAGTCCTGATAGAGCATGGCCCAGGGCCTCAGGAGAGCAAAATCAGACACATGGTTAGTACATTCTATCTGACATGGAACATGGCCTCATGCATACAATGACACAATCTTATCAAGCCTGCTTATAAGAGCATGCAAGATTATGTCCCCCCAGAAACTGGTCAAGGGCCAATCTTCCCTTTGGAATGTTCAGAGCGTGAGCACCCAGATAACCCTTTTCTGTACACATCACCCTTGGCCTGGGCTTTGTTGGTATAGCCTTTGTATAATGGATTCAGTAACAGTCAGTATAAATATTGCTAGCATTTGGAGGAGCCAGTGTAGTACAGAAAAAAACAATTGATTGTCCTACAAAGCTATTCCCTGCTGCAAACATGGTGTGCTCTTCTCTGACTTCACCAAGGGGAATAAGGGGAATAAGCAGCAGCCCTTGGCCAATTCCTATTAGGAAGGAGGCAGTCATGCCCCACTCCCCAACCTATCAGGACACCAACCAACTCAGCACTCTATTTATCTGCTGGATTCAATGATCCATTGTATTGGCCAGACAGAACTCAGACCATCCTCATGATCATGGGGTTTACTCAGGGAGTTGACAGGTTACAATTCGGGATCAGAAACATCAGTTCTCCTTTAAGGAGCATCTCTTCTCAGCTGTGCCCGATGGCACATTTCTCTCCAGCCCCTCAGATCCTAAGCCAAGTGGCCCCTCGGCCACCTCCCTGCTTGGGCAAGAGTTACAAAAGCTCCTTTAGTGCTCCTGATAAATGTCCCAACCTGAAGGCACTCAGCTTAACTTCCAAGATTCAGTGCCTGGAAGCAACCCACTCCACCAGGACCTCCGCCTGACTGGCCCTGCGGGAAGGGAAGCCCATGTTCTGCCCTGTGCTCTTAGTGCTGCCGCTTCCCTGCCAAGTTTCTCCCCCTGCTCACCACCTCTGGGGTCACAGCTCTGTCATCTGGTCAAGGAAGTGCAGTGCAGGGCTTTAAAGGACACACTTTACTCCTGGCTCTTCTTTCTCAGTGATCCCCTGTTCCTGTTTCTGAGATGCCTCATTTTATACCTAACGGTAAAAAAACGACCAATGGCAAAACTGACTAGTCCCCTCACTAGAGTCCACGCTATCATATTTGCATGCTCCCACCCAGTCATGTGGTGGAAGCTACAAAGGTGATGGCTACAGGAGCCATAGCAAGGAATCCAGCCCACTGTACAGACATGTTCATATTTTTGTACTCTTGATTACTTATTTCTGCCACCTCCCCCAATCTACCACTATTTTTTCCTTATGCTAAACGTGTACAGAAATAGTTAGCATAGAAATTAGCTGTGAGTTAGCTAAACTCAGTTCTTCTTCGGGCCTAGAATTTCCCCTTGCCATTCCATCCGGGAAGCCTTAACATCCTCATCAGCATCTGTGTGATCATATGACTGACTTACATAGGATAGTTAAATCTTACAATGACTCCAGTGTTACACCATATCACGATGGAGTCGTGGCTCAGTTCAGTTTCCTTAGAGAACAAATCAATAAGAATTACAGAGATCGTTACCCTTGCCCATGTACTACATATGTTATCAGCAGTTTATGATTCAGTTATTTTTGAGCTTCCAGTTAATTGGAGAAGTCGGCGGTCCTATGCCATCTCACCAGCTTTTACTGAGACTAGTTTACATGGTGCTGTTGTGGAGCTGAGCCAACTCCTCCTATGAGAAGGACAGGAGTGTATTCAGAACTGCTCCCACCGCTGCCAGCTGTCCTCTAGAACCTGCCCTATTTTTAATTATTTTGAGGGGTGAGGGCAGTCACAGTGCTTCAATATAGATTACAGGTGCCCCCAGAAACATCCATAGGCTTGTAAGTTGGTTAAGTTCCCATGGGCATGTCCCTTTAGCCTCAATAGCCAAGATACTGGCTCCTTGCCCCAGGACTACTTCAACCTTTCTTTGTATTAAAAGAGTCAAGAGGCCTCTTGGTTTAGAGCAGGGGTCCTCAAACTTTTTAAACAGGGGGCCAGTTCACTGTCCCTCAGACCCGTTGGAGGGCCTGACTATAGTTAAAAAAACAACTATGAACAAATCCCTATGCACATTGCACATATCTTATTTTGAAGTAAAAAAAAACAAATGGGTCAAAAACACCCGGCAGGCCAGATAAATGTCCTCAGTGGGCCGCAGTTTGAGGACCCCTGGTTTAGAGAGTAAGCCCTTTCTCAGTGTTGGGTCCTAGCACAACCCAGCATCATTTGTTAGGTCTAAAGCATCATTATCTTTCAAGCTGACTCCCCTGGCTTCTCATCTGACTATTCTTCTGTTTTTAATAGTTTTATTAGGGGCTCATACAACTCTTATCACAATCCATACATACATCAATTGTGTATAGCACATTTGTACATTCATTGCCCTCATCATTCTCAAAACATTTGCTCTCCAACTAAGTCCCTGGCATCAGCTCATTTTTCCTCTCCCCCCCTGCTCC